GCTTGCCATAGCCTAGAAGAGGCAAGAAGTCATAATGATGAGAAGTTTCACCGAACAAAAATGAGATGCAGCCGGAAAATATGGGGTGGAACTATATTTTTGCTTCGTTGTCAGAACGACCATTTTTGAAAAAATTGACGAAAAAAATTGTTTTTTCAAGCTAGAGTTTGGTGTTGGCATGCGAATTGGTATTGGTAATTACCACATTTTCTGTATGGGGGCATTTTTGAAAACGTCGTGTAAGACGGGATTTTGTGAGATTCATGGGTGGAACTATGATTATGCTTCGCAGTGTAGGTACCCACCAGCACAGAATGACGTCCGTTTACCTAACCCCCTGGAGGCGCAGCCAAACGTAACCGTGATTAGTGTCCTAACTTCTCTCTTCGTAAAACCTCGGCATTGTTGTTACGTTTAATAAGTACTTCTGTGCACACGAGGTTGTTAGGTGGAAACTTTATTGTGGACGTTTCGACTAGATCGTCTTCATCAGAGGCCTAAAGCTCATGGTTTGGATTTGCTCTCTCTACGTCGCAAAGGATCTCCTCCTCCCTAACGTTTCTGACAGACTACTGAGAAAACCCCCCGAAATGAGGGAAAGACTCACCCAGTCCACCACAGCGAGAGCAGTTTCCCTAGTTTTACAAGAGTGGAATCGAGAAGCTGTGCGAAAGAAGGGCCTTTGTGCTACTTATTAATAATGATTATCCTGTAGATTGGAGGTGTCGTTTAGTGAAGGAAAATTTGTCCAGAAATTTTGGTAGAAGTGTTGCAGGACTTATTTTCCAAACTAATATTATTGCACGTGTATTGTATATTTTGTTAGTCTCGGAAATGTGTAGTGTTTCTATCCAGATTCACCTCCTCTGTCTACCACAACACCCGACTCCTGCTAAATATGGCGACTTTGAAGAGCTTCACTCAAAATCTTTGGCTACCGTACTGTACGATTATAATCCTCTTGAAAATGATGAGATTGCGTTACAAAAGGGTACTTCAACAGCTTACTTCTTAGCTCTATTTGCTTTTCCTTTTGTGGTCTTTCTTATTTTTTTTTCTTTCTTAATT